TTTGTCATTGGTTGTGTTTGGTCAAATGACTCCCAATCGGAGGTAACGAGTGTCAGCTGTCGGCTCGTTATCTCTGATTGGGAGCCATATTTAACTGTGTGTTTTCACCTTGTGTTTGTGGGTTTTTGTTCTATGTTCAGTCGTTGTCACTGAGGACTTCATGATCGTGTTTTGTTTTGTATTCTCGTGTATTTCATTAAAATCAATATGTTCGCTACCAACGCTGCGCTTTGGTCCTATTTCATAGACGGTCGTGACAGAAAAACCCACCACAACGAGACCAAGCAGCGTTTCCAGGAGTTGGATGACGAGTGGTGGAGACAGAAGAGCGAAGGTTGGGAGAGGACTATAGAGGCCTGGTCCACGGAGAGGAGAGACCCCCAGAAAATTTTTAGGGGGGGGCTCACGACGTCGGGGCAGCAGGAGTACGGGGTAGAGGAGTGCAGTAGGTTGGCAGAAAAGGCCGCCAGGTTAAGGGGGCCACTGGTCACGAAGGGGAAGGAATGTGTGGAGGCACGGCGAGAGGTACTGGGGTGTGTTCCCAGTCCGGTCCGGCCCGTTCCTGATCCCTGCGTGGGGCCAGTGGCGTGTGTCCCCAGTACGGTCCGGCCTGTTCCTGCCATTCCCACCAAGTCAGTGGTGCGCATCGTCAGCCCAGCCCGGCCTGTTCCTGCCATTCCCACCAAGTCAGTGGTGTGCGTCGACAGCCCAGCCCGGCCTGTTCCTGCCATTCCCACCAAGTCAGTGGTGTGCGTCGACAGCCCAGCCCGGCCTGTTCCTGCCATTCCCACCAAGTCAGTGGTGTGCGTCGAGAGCCCAGCCCGGCCTGTTCCTGCCATTCCCACCAAGTCAGTGGTGTGCGTCGACAGCCCAGCCCGGCCTGTTCCTGCCATTCCCACCAAGTCAGTGGTGTGCGTCGACAGCCCAGCCCGGCCTGTTCCTGCCACTCGCACCAAACCAGGGATGCGAGTCGTCAGCCTGGTCCAGCCCGTTCCTGCTACTCGCACCAGGCCAGGGAATGGAGTCGTCAGTCCGGTGAGGTCCGTTCCGGCTCCACGCACCATGCAAAGGGTGCGTATCATCTGCCAGGTCCGGTACATTCCTGCCTCACGCGCCAAGCCAGGGGTGCGCGTCGGCAGTCCTGATCCAGCTAACTGGGTCAGATTGGACTGGGGGCACTACGGGGGGATTGTAGTAGGGTGGTGGTCAAGCCCGGAGCCGGAGCCGCCTCCGAAGAGCAACACCCACCAAGCCCTCCCCTATTTGGGGTGTAGGCGCGGTCGGAGTCCGCGCCTTTAGGGGGGGGTACTGTCACGCTCTGGCTCCGGGACTTTGTATTTTGAGCCAGGGTGTGTTCGTTTGGTTGTGTTTTGTTTGGTTGGTTTGTCATTGGTTGTGTTTGGTCAAATGACTCCCAATCGGAGGTAACGAGTGTCAGCTGTCGGCTCGTTATCTCTGATTGGGAGCCATATTTAACTGTGTGTTTTCACCTTGTGTTTGTGGGTTTTTGTTCTATGTTCAGTCGTTGTCACTGAGGACTTCATGATCGTGTTTTGTTTTGTATTCTCGTGTATTTCATTAAAATCAATATGTTCGCTACCAACGCTGCGCTTTGGTCCTATTTCATAGACGGTCGTGACACATCTTTCATTTGGAAGAACAAGAAACCGAGAATCCGCAAACCAGTTCTAGAACAACCGAAAAATAAAACAGGCTTTGCTCCACCAAATTTCTACATCCTCGATTTTGATCTCGAGGGTGTAGGTGGGTTTCTTGGAGAAAAACAACTTCTGACTATTGGACATACACATATAAAAACAAGGATGGACCATATAGTCTGTTACAGAAAAAGACTCAAGCTCTCCTATCGCTACACTCTCGCCTACTCTGCTCCCCAACAAGCATGGGACTAACCTCCCACACAGTGAACCCCGTAGTAGTGAAAAGCGCCTTAAAGATATGGACAAGGTTCAGAAGTAATTTTGGTCTGAAAGAGATGATCACTCCTATGCCGTTATGTGCCAACTTTTCTTTCCAACCATTAACTGATTCCGCATTCCAGCAATGGTATCAAAACGGAATAAAGACCCTTGCGAATCTCTTACAAATACGGAGCTGTGCTTCAAAGCATCTCAACCTGTTCCCGTCTCTTCCACCCAGGAGCCTCATTGACTAACACTAACCCCAGTGCCAGGGGAAACATCTCCAGAGTCTACCAAACCATCCAAAACATGAAAAGCCTGTCATTGGTAAAGACAAAGGCTTCCTGGGAGAATGAAATAGCGACAGAAATACCTGAAGACAGAATGTCAAAAATGTACCCAGAACTTGACCCTACTTGTATTAGGTGCCATCCGGCTCCTGCTACATTATATCATATGTTTGGAGAATGTCCGTCTTCATTTTTGGTCCGGCATTTTCAATACTTTATCCAGTGTCTGTTTTCAACACTTTATCCAGTGTCTGCGATCAAACAATTGACCGCAACCCATACACCGCCCTATTCGGGATAACCCCAGGATATAATGTCACAAATAATCAATCTCTGCTAGCCAGCTGACTTATCTTATTTTAGTGGAATTCTGCTGACCCACCCAAAGCTGTTGCCAGAGAACTGAATGTTCATTTCTATACCATAAGCCACCTCCAACGTCATTTTAGAGAATTTGGCAGTACGTCCAACCGGCCTCACAACCGCAGACCATGTGCATGGCGTCATGTGGGCGAGCAGTTTGCTGATGTCAACGTTGTGAACGGAGTGCCCCATGGTGGCGGTGGGGTTATGGTGGGGGCAGGCATAAGCTACGGACAATGAACACAATTGCATTTTATCGATGGCAATTTGAATGGACAGAGATAACTTGACGAGATCCTGAGGCCCATTGTCGTGCCATTCATCCGCCGCCATCCCCTCATGTTTCAGCATGATAATGCACGGCCCCATGTCGCAAGGATCTGTACAAATTCCTGGAAGCTGAAAATGTCTCAGTTCTTACATGGCCCGCATACCCACCAGACATGTCACCCATTGAACATGTTTGGGATGCTCTGGATTGACATGTATGACAGTGTGTTCCAGTTCCTCCAATATCCAGCAACTTCACACAGCCAATAAAGAGGAGTGGGACAACATTCCACAGGCCACAATCAACAGCCTGATCAACTCTATGCGAAGGAGATGTGTTGCTCTGCATGAGGCAAATGGTGGTCACATCAGATACTGACTAGTTTTCTGATCCACACCCATACATTTTTTAGGGCCTAATGAATTTATAGATTAGGGCCTAATGAATTTATTTCAATTGACTGATTTCCTTATATGACCTGTAACTCAGTAAAATCGTTGAAATTGTTGCATGTTGCGTTTATATTTTTGTTCAGTATACAATACAGTAAATGCAAAATACATATTACCTGTTCTATTGGTTAAATATAGTTCCTGTTTAAATCCTTATGATGCCACTGTGGGAATTGGTCAGATGGAATATGGTTTGTGTTGTCATGTCCCTTAGGTTCAACACAGACCACAGTTCATAAACACAGCATATTCCAGGAAATACTTGAGTATAACCTTTGGTAATTCGATATTCCTCCTCAACATAGAATTATGTAAAACATAACATGTGTTTCCATTCTAAAGTCACTTCAGATCTAGTGCTAAATGAAATGGAGATGTTTTGTAGAGTCATGTAGAGAGAAGTACCAGTGTTAAAAGTAGCAGTGCTAGTATCTTCACCTTAACCTCGAAACACATTTTTCCAGATAATATCTTAGTTGAACAATTCATGGATGTGCTGGGATGAAGGCAAGGAAACTGTTGTTCGTCTTCCAGTCCAGGTATCTTTATTCTCTATACCCCGCATCACTGGACGGACTTTCCCTCTGAAAATAACTCCACAACAGTTTGCGACAAATATGACTGCATTTATTGTGTTTTTATCTCTTTGTGTGTCTACTAGCTAGAACGAAGGTTAAAGTTACAAGAAGAACAGAGTCTGTCTTCCGGTAATTCTGTTTGCAGTGCAGGTTTCACTTTCAAAGTCATCCTCCAGTGACAGGTTGTATGACCTTTCCGACCTGTGATTGATCATGACCTCTGACCTTTGTGCTTGAGATGTACACTGAAATGGCCTTATGTTTCCTTGAGGACATCATGGGACATCTCCATCCTGTCCTGTTTCATATCAGAGAAATCACTCTACATTACAGTAAATGTTAAGTTTTACTGAAGTTGAATTGCTTCACCCCTCTTACCAGCATGAATTGTGGGCAGAGAATTTTTATTTGTCCACAAATGTTGTGGAAAAATAGACTAGCTCATACACATGTTTTATAAACAATGACCTAGCCAGCTGGCACATGGTGAAAAAAAGCACATAATCGAGAGAGGGAGAGAAGAGAGTGAAGAGAGAGAAAACAGAGAGAGAAGATAGAGAGTTAAGAATGAGCGTTCAGACACCACGCTGAGAAAGGCATCTTCAGTCAGGAGGGAACAGCAGAAAAGAGGATAAATCACACAACCGGTTTTCTACATCCACCCCCGCATCCACCACATACAATGTGTGCTATTTTCACGCCACCAGTTCCCACATTAGATCAACACATTGTAGACCAAAGGCTGCCATAACTAAGGACTTAAACACGGTCTGATATCAATTCATCTCTAGCTCAACTTCAGAGGATAAATCATATTAATATTGTGACTCAAAATAGAAGACATCTGGATAGTTTATTTCCGTACAGACATTAAGATGCTCATGTTTCTGCGGTCAGTGAATGTGGAACACTTTGTTTTCTGCTGGTGTTTCCCCTGATGAAAAAACACAGTCAAAATTCCTTGACTGCAGACAATAATAATAATAATAATAACAAGAATATAGACATTTCCATTAAACAAGTTTTATTCTTGTTACGTCATGACAATGCAGACAGTGTTATTACATGAGGATTGTTTAAAAATCAAACTGTATGACATGACATCAGCATGCCATATGATATATAACACAAAATAAGTGTGATGTTAGCAGCACGTCAATACTCGTCAACTAAAAACAAAGATGTATTCTGATTGGGTAATACGAGGTGAAAAGTGCAATTGGCACAGATTGAATTCAAAATGATGACTTGACATGGCAGAATGCAAGAAGTGTAAAAAATATGGGGACAAAGGGCAGGCCCTGTGATAAATAGACAGAGAAAGAGAGAGAAAGAGAAACGCAATGATAGAGTAAGAGTGTGAGGGAGAAATACAGGCTGGTTTTAAGAGACTGTAACAGAGACATAGAGAGAAAGAAGGAATAAGAGCAAGAGAGAGTGAAAGCTTGGTGGCTAAGCGGACGATCCTGTCAGACTGCTGTGGCGAAGCCTATGCGGTTGTTGCGACGGTCGAACTCTGTGTAGTAGCGGGCAATGAAGTTGGCTCCCAGGATCCAGATAGGGCCAGTAGGGGGCGGCACATCCAAACCCCTAAAGGTCACACTACAGATGTCCTCTCCAAACTGAGATTGCTGCAGACGGAGAGCAAATCATAAAAAAATACTGGTAAAGACTTCCATAAATGCGTATTTATAAAACATACATGTCACATCTATAAGCACAAAATAAACATGACATAGTAGCTGCAAAGGTAAACATGACAATCGCCCTGTATCTGTACAGTATATCCCAGTTGTGCCAATTTCCATGTTGCTTACCCATAAGATGTAGTCCTCCTCAGTGAGTGCGTACTCATGGCCTCCGAGGTGGAAGGTGACACTGGGTAAGGACTTCACCAGGTCACAGTTTACAGTGTACTGAAAAGAGAACAAACAACACATCTTAGTCCACCCATAAGATAAGGTAAGGGAAGATGCTAGTTAACAGACCATTTAGGCAATAAATATACAGTATGTGGCTCTGTGATGTACATACCCCTCCCTCTGCCAGCTCTGTGGCTCCAATGGTTTTCATCAGTACAGACACAGAGGAGGCGGGGCCTGTGATGTAGGAGGAGCCTGTGTCAATCACTGCCGTACAGCCCTCCTTACAGAACAGCATCTCCTCCCCCACTGTCACCCTGGGAGAGAGGGAAGGGGAGAAAGAGAAAAAGAGAGAGAGAAAATGACACACACATGTAAAGTTCATTGACACAGGCAAATGTGCATATACTGGCCCACAGATAAACAAACAAACAAACAGACAGACAGACAGACAGACGCACAACTTGCACATCAGTGGAGGTTGGTGGGAAGACCTATAGGGGGACGGGCTCATTGTAATTGCTGGACTGGAATCAATGGAACAGAGTCAAAAATGTGGTTTCCAAATGTTTGAAACCATTCCATTTATTCCATTCCAGCCATTACAATGAGCCAGTCCTCCTTTAGCTCCTCCCACCAGCCTCCACTGTTGCACATGCACACGTACACACATAACTGTCACATCTCACCCTTTCATGTTGACCTCCCATTTTCCTGCCTCACTGGTGCCCATGTAGTTGAAGGTACCAGTATAGTAGTCTGGGTCTGTTCCTCCCATCACTAGCTCTCCACCTGGTTTGTGCATTGGGTCTCTGAGAGAAAAAAAAAGATTGCACGATTGCTATTCATAGGTTGCAGCTCCGTCACATCATGCCATTGTTGTGCACGTTCTCAAACCGCCCTCCGACATTGGGGTGCCCAAAAGTCATGATAAGCCCAGTCATTCTGAATGGGGGCTACCCACTGGGCAAAAACTGATTGAATCAACGTTGTTTCCACTTCATTTTCCACCTAATTATTTGCATCCTTTAGAAATGTCATTGTTTTTCTAAGCTGCTGTAATGCACTTTTGATGAAATCATCAGCCCCAATTGACAATGCATTGAGTAGAATGCTCAGTCGGGCATCAGTCCTAAAACGAATGTTCAAAACAATATTTTGATGAAATGTGCAACCCACTAAGACCTACTTGTGTGAGTTTTATGGGCCCGATTCAGACTTGAGGTAACATGGACTTAAAGGCCTAGTGCAGTCAGAAACGTGATGTTCCTGTGTTCCACACGAGGTTGGAATAATACTGTGAAATCGTGAAAATTATGATAATGCCCTTTTAGTGTAAGAGCTGTTTGAAAAGGCTGCCTGAGATTTCAGCCTGTTTTGGTGGGATGGAGTCTCGGCCTGCCTGGTGACATCACCAGCAAATAAATTAGTTAATAGACCAATAAGAAAGAGAGTTCCAAACCTCTCTGCCAATAACAGCTAGTTCTCAGTTTTCCCCTCCCCACTCAGACCACTCAAAGACAGTCCTAGCTAAATTATTGCTTGAGAAATTGCTCTTTGCTAAGAAGCTATGTTTGTTTCTTATTGACCATTTTCATTTGAAAACAATCACAGTAAGGTACGTAATTGTTACCTAGAAATTATTTGATATTGAGATAAAAACGGCTTCATTGGACCTTTAAGTAAAAAGAAGTCTACTTATCTCAAGTCTGAATCGGGCCCTGTATGAACAGTGACAATGATATCCCCTACTTGCTGTAATAAACAGAGAAGACCTCATCCTTGAGGACGTGCTGGGACATGATGCGGTCGAACACAGGGGTGATGCCGTCGATGGCCACGTTGGGGTAGCCCATCCCAAGGACCCCGTCAAACTTGGCAAAGATGAAGGGGATGGCAGGCAGGGCTGTGGCCTCCGCAAACACCTGGACCACTGGGATGCCACCCACCTAGAGAATGCACAGAGTAAGATATAACTGTCCCTCAAAACCTAGATCTAGGTTTTCCCCTAGTAAGATAATCCTACGGTAGATCAGTACTTATGGGCAATGTCTACTACACTGCTCAAAAAAATGAGGTCTAGCATTGTCTTGCATTAGGAGGAACCCAGGGCCAACCGCACCAGCATATGGTCTCACAAGGGGTCTGAGGATCTCATCTCGGTACCTAATGGCAGTCAGGCTACCTCTGGCGAGCACATGGAGGGCTGTGCGGCCCCCCAAAAAAATGCCACCCCACACCATGACTGACCCACCGCCAAACCGGTCATGCTGGAGGATGTTGCAGGCAGCAGAACGTTCTCCACGGCGTCTCCAGACTCTGTCACGTCTGTCACATGTGCTCAGTGTGAACCTGCTTTCATCTGTGAAGAGCACAGGGCGCCAGTGGCGAATTTGCCAATCTTGGTGTTCTCTAGCAAATGCCAAATGTCCTGCACGGTGTTGGGCTGTAAGCACAACCCCCACCTGTGGACGTCGGGCCCTCATACCACCCTCATGGAGTCTGTTTCTGACTGTTTGAGCAGACACATGCACATTTGTGGCCTGCTGGAGGTCATTTTGCAGGGCTCTGGCAGTGCTCCTCCTGCTCCTCCTTGCACAAAGGTGGCGGTAGCGGTCCTGCTGCTGGGTTGTTGCCCTCCTACGGCCTCCTCCACGTCTCCTGATGTACTGGCCTGTCTCCTGGTAGCGCCTCCATGCTCTGGACACTACGCTGACAGACACAGCAAACCTTCTTGCCACAGCTCGCATTGATGTGCCATCCTGGATGAGCTGCACTACCTGAGCCACTTGTGTGGGTTGTAGACTCCGTCTCATGCTACCACTAGAGTGAAAGCACCGCCAGCATTCAAAAGTGACCAAAACATCAGCCAGGAAGCATAGGAACTGAGAAGTGGTCTATGGTCACCACCTGCAGAACCACTTCTTTATTGGGGGTGTCTTGCTAATTGCCTATAATTTCCACCTGTTGTCTATTCCATTTGCACAACAGCATGTGACATTTATTGTCAATCAGTGTTGCTTCCTAAGTGGACAGTTTGATTTCACAGAAGTGTGATTGACTTGGAGTTACATTGTGTTGTTTAAGTGTTCCCTTTATTTTTTTGAGCAGTGTATTATTCCCATATTGATCACAAAAAAGCACGATAAAAAGGGATGATAGGAAACAGGTGAGGAGAAAGGGTAGGAAGGTTATTTTCTTAGAGTGGTATAATGTTACACTCACCACAACCACATCCTCACTCAGGAATCCCCGGATGTTTCCAGAGGCATACTGGATGGAGAAACCTGTCCCGTTCTTGACGTGCGTCCGGGACTTGGAACCGTCGTATCTGTTGTGGGTAACTGTGAGTTCAAAGGTCATTGAGTCATCATTGTCCGGGAACATGCTTATCTCTGGTGAAGCAATCAAACATACAGCTTTTATGTGTATGTGTGTGGGAGGCCAGGAGGAGGTGCTCATTTAGGAAGTGGGCTGCTCATTTGACGGCTACATGGAGCAGGCCTTTGCCGAAAAGCTGCATAAGTACCAGCCCCTCGTGGCATGCTTGGACAGCCTCGGGTTTAGGTGCTAGCTGGTTGTGCTGGTTGTGCTGATATTCGGCAGCCTCCAGATTGCGGGCCTGACAAAAACTAGGGCAAAGCAATTGGCTAGGTACTGTTCTGTTCAGCTGTCGTGGGCAGCCTAGCTGTTTGGAGAAGGAGGTGCTTACTGTACCCTTGAGTGCCATGGATCCTTTTTTTGTAAATTTGATTGGTGGATTCAAATAAAGTATTTAAAATGTGTGTGTGTGTGTGTGTGTGTGTGTGTCTGTGTGCGTGTGTGAATGTGTGTAGGGGTGTCATGCACCTCAAAAATCTGAGGTGGCACAAAGTATGTGAGGATGGCTAGGCGATTGAGAATTTTGAGAAATTAAAATTTTTCAAACACATTTTTCCTGCTATCTAGAGCCACAATCAGTATGCTTAATTCTATGTGAAAAATATGTCTATTTTTCCGCATATCTAAGCATACCTCCTGAGCTGTCTGTATCCTCCTGACTGGTGGTTCTTTAAAAAAAATACACTTAATATGCTTCTCTGCAGCTATGCTAAAATCTGGGTAAAAGATTGAAAGGAATGTGAGTCTTATTCAGTACATTTAGTTATTGCTCGCCTTTCTAAAGTCTACCATCCTTGCCAGCAGACATGCCAGCTAAAATACAGCTAACTGCCAAAATAATGGAAACACTTGAGTAAATCAGGTATACAAAGTATATTGAAAGCAGGTGCTTCCACACGTGGTTCATTTACATTTTACATATTTAGCAGACGCTCTTATCCAGAGCGACTTACAGTTAGTGAGTGCATACATAATTTTTTATACTGGCCCCCCGTGGGAATTGAACCCACAACCCTGGCGTTGCAAACGCCATGCTCTACCAACTGAGCTACATCCCTGCCGGCTATTCCCTCCCCTACCCTGGACGACGATGGGCCAATTGTGCGCCGCCCCATGGGTCTCCCGGTCGCGGCCAGCTACGACAGAGCCTGGATTCGAACCAGGATCTCTAGTGGCACAGCTAGCACTGCGGTTCCTGAATTAACTAAGCAATTAACCTTTCACTGCAGTGGGCTAAATCAAGTTTCTTGGTAGTCTTAAACAAATCTACTTTGTAACAAAAGTATACACCTCACACACATGGCTATGGGCTTAAAAAAAGACACCTGTACCATGTCAGATATAGAGTTGAAATCTATTCAATTTTGAGTTTGCATCTCAATATTACACTTTATACACATCACAGAAGACTGAATTATAACAAAACCGTTTGTTAAACTAAATAAATAATAATGTTGATTAATTCTGAAATTCTGAAAAATATTAATAACATTCCACCCATGAGGCCACTAGGTCATTTGACTGCAGGAAAGGGCTACCATCCCATCATGCTTAGGGGCATGTATAAAATTGCTGGGCAGGCCATTATTTTGGCCATTATTTTAGATACCATGGCTATACCCCCATAGGATGACAATGCCCCTATCCACAGGGCACGAGTGGTCACTGAATGGACATAACCTGGCGGAGGTCCTCCCTCAACTGGTTTTTGGCCTCAAAAGCTCATTTCCTGCATTTCTACTAGGGCTGTACCAGACAAAAAAACATCTTGGTCAACCAAGAGTAGTCTTTTCTTTCGACCAATCGATTGGTCAAAAATGTTAAACGTGTATTTTTCCATATATAGACACAACCTTTGTGTTTTAATCAAATCTACTATATACTGAACTTGTCTGATGATTTAAGCACGCTGTTTGATTAAATAATTAAGACACACAAATGACTCAAGAGAGAGCCAGAGATCAAGATAGCCTAACCAGAAGATAAAAACCTGTTCCCGACCCTCCTTCTCCCGCTGCTGCTGGCCTTCGCAGATTCTGCCATTAAAGGCGCTGTATGGTCAATCCCACGTCTGCATTGGCCGTGCAGCATTTACGGTGATACGGCCTCTGCAGAAGTCAGGGCATTCATACTTATTGCGCTTCACGGAGCACTGCAGAGCTGTTGTGAAGGAAGTTGTCAAGGAAGTGAGTGTGTGTGCAATTGCATCACACCATCCATATGGCGCCGCCGACCACATTTTCGGATCAAACATAAGTTGGCTCTTACGCTCCTGAAGTTGCCGGTAATAGGCTACACCAGCAGTCAGCAACCTTTTCCATTTGGAGTGCCAATTTATCTTATAATTTCTACCAATCTGCGTGCCAGTTATGATTTTTCGTGGAACATTTCATTATAATAGTCTTTGTATCTCAAAATCATTGTCTGTGGTTAATCTACATTCTAAATCTAAATGAAAATTATACAAATCTAAAAGTAACTTTTATTACCATTGCCAACTATGTAAAAATAGCCAACATAAAGCCAACACATAAAAACATTGCAACCTGAAGGTAGAAAATATCCAGATGAAAATAAATATCCTTTAAATCACATTGGCTATGCATGGCCTGTCTGCAACGAACTTGAAACATTGTATCAACTATCAACTGGGTCTCCCAGAAACTTGCACTAGCAAACTTGAAACATTGTATAAAATATTCTGGGCCCTCAGTTTCCTGCGCCAGTGAGCTCAGGACAGACACAGCTGTAGGCTATTGGTGCAAGGGAAAATAAGTATTCAGGTATTTTATGACGTTTCCACTGGATCAGAGCATTACATCTATCCCTTTTATGCCGAGTGGTTATTGAAAGGGAGAGAGCTGGAAATATTGTTGAAATACTTTGTTGAACTATTGCCATTCTGAATTGATTCTAAAAACAGACTTCATTTACTTGCTGTTTGAGATTAAGAAAAATGACTTTGAGAAGCTCCACAGCTCATTAGTGGTGGTGAGTTAAGGCAGTCAGAAGTACTACCAGACATCCCAAAATGGGCACATTTAAAGGCCTACATTTGTGCGCAGGCCAGGTAGACTAGTCCTACTTCTATGTGTGTGTCCTTACTTAACATTGACGGGAGCGTTTCAAACAAAAGACGATGAATAAATTGACAAAACTCATTAATGGAATAAAATAAACAAAAACTTTTCTCAGTTTACATTTACATCATTTAGCAGACGCTCTTATCCAGAGCGACTTACAGTTAGAGAGTGCATACATTTTCATACTGGCCCCCCGTGGGAAACAAACCCACAACCCTGGCGTTGCAAGCGCCATGCTCTACCAACTGAGCTACAGGGGACCTGTAGGTTGTGAGTTCTTCAAAACACATGTCCACTCCGACAACGAGAATAGTAAATGACTGTAATAATAATATATTGAATGCATGAACAGAAATGACCATAACCAAACAAACATTCTAATAAATTAGAAATTATAGGAATTAACGGTAAATGTAAGCTAGTACTGGTGATATATGTAATGGGGAATTGATAGACACAGCAATTGCACAGAAGTTTATGAAACCATGAACCCACGAAATGGCGAGAGAGAGCGCGTTCTGGAGAGAGACGTTCCTTGTGCATCTGAGCCACAATCCCCATATTCTTGGACTGTGGCATCACCTCGGCATCCTCAATGGATTAGTTCACTGAGACAGGCACAAATCAGACAGGTGTCTCATGTGCCATGAAAAAAAGAATCTATTTGCAAATAAAATTTGATTTAATTTGATTTAGTATGTTCTATGGATGGTCTTAAACTGCAGTAATTTATGTCTGAGATTATATGACCATGACTGGGCATTCAAACATACCTGTATACATTTCACGGTAATGTCTACACCTGTTGTATTTGGCGCATGTGGCAAATAAAATTTGATTTCATTTTATTTGTATACATTCATCATCATCAATAGTGCTTCCCAGGTCTTTTTTTGTTTGACATGTTTTGTGTCAACTGGAAAAGCCTCTATCAACCCTTGATACAGTTTGGAAATCAACTTTAGAGGTTTGTTAGACTGCCTTAAAATAGTTTCAATCTTTTAAGCTTCTGGCTTGTCCAGTGTTAATAAAGTGTTGTATCTGCAAAAAGTTCACCTCAGCGCCGTCACAGACTGGTCTCCCCCTGGTTGCATGACCCTGCTGAGGCCCCTGTCACCATCTGATCCTGCTCAGATGAGGCATGACAAAGAATTACCTTGGTGTACATTTACACATTATATTATCCAGTAATAGAATCAATGGTTGAACAATTGAAATGACCATCATTCGCAGATCCCAGGCTGTAGCCTACCCATCAACTCAAGATGGAACTTTGTATCCATTCACTGATTGTTATAATAATATACTGCAAAATGTACCTTAGCTCCATAGACTGGTCTTCCCTGGCTGTCTGACCCTGCTGGGACACCTGACACCATCTGATCCTGCTAAGACATGATGAATATAGTGTTGTGTGCTGACTGTGCACCATGACAGTGTAGCCTGTAGAGCTGTTTATACCGTGTCAGTGTGAAAAGTAGGGAATTTGCTAGGGAAACTGACAGATCAATAACGTTACATTGCTATACTGACTAATAAAACTCACATTGTGTCACGATCGTCATAATGAGTGGACCAAGGCGCAGTGTGATATGCGTACATCTCTTTAATAGTGTACTTAGCAACACGATACAAATAACGGACTGCGACCGCGCCAACAAAAACCCAACAGGGGAGGGGCCGGGTGGGCATTCCACCTCGGAGGCGGATCCGGCTCCGGGCGTGACCACCACCCTCTAACAACCCCCCCGTAGCGCCCCTGGTCTGGTCCCGCTGGCTGGAGCTGGACTGGACATCGGTGGAGCGGATTGCTTAGGCTCCGGTGTGGAGCAGCTGACCGGTACCTGACCAGGCACCGGTGAAGCAGGCACGGGCTGTCCCGGACTGACGACGCGCACCACAGGCTTGGTGCGGGGAGCAGGGACGGGCCGGACCGGGCTGGCGACGCGCATCACAAGCTTGGTGCGGGGAGCAGGAACAGGCCGGACCGGGCTGGCGACGCGCACCACAGGCTTGGTGCGGGGAGCAGGAACAGGCCGGGCCGGGCTGACGACGCGCACCATTGCCTTGGTGCGGGGAACAGGAATGGGCTGGACCGGGCTGACGAAGCGCACCCTTGGCTTGGTGCGGGGAGCAGGAACGGGCCGTGCCGGGCTGGCGACGCGCACCACAGGCTTGGTGCGGGGAGCAGGAACAGGCCGGGCCAGGCTGGCGATGCGCACCATAGGCTTGGTACGGGGAGCAGGAACAGGCCGGGCCGGGCTGGCGACGCGCACCATTGGCTTGGTGCGAGGAGCAGGAACAGGCCGGGCCGGGCTGGCGATGCGCACCACAGGCTTGGTGCGAGGGGCAGGAACAGGCCGGGCCGGGCTGGCGACGCGCATCACAGGCTTGGTGCGAGGGGCAGGAACAGGCCGGACCGGGCTGGCGACACGCACCACAGCCTTGGTGCGGGGAGCAGGAACGGGCCGGACCGGGCTGTGGAGACGGACTGGAGGTCTGGAGCGAAGAGCTGACACAATCCGTCCTGGCTGAATGCCTATTTTTACACACTCTGTGTGAGGCATCAGCACAGGACGTACAGGGCTGTGTACTCGTACTGGCACTACAGCACGTGACACTGGCGCAGGATATCTGGGACGAGGAGGGGTACTGGAGGCCACGAGTGTTGAGCCGGCACACTCCGTCCTGGCTACATGCCCACCTTAGCACGACACGTGCGTGGTGCTCGCACAGGACGTACCGGACTGTGCCGGACCACTCGTGGCACAGTACGCAGCTCCGCACAGCTCGGAACCTGCCCAGTCTCACGCTGCCTAGCCTGAGTACGGGGAGTTGGCTCTGCTCTACCTCTAGGCTACGCCAACCTCCCTTCCAGCCCCCCAAACCCGGTGGCTTCCTCTCCCAATCCCCAAACTCGCCCCGTAGCTGCCTCCAGCAGCCCCGTCGTCCATGCCGTGTGCCCCCCCCAAAAAATGTATTGGGGTTGCCTCTTGCGTGTCCGACGTCGGCCCGGTTGGCGCCACTGCTCCTCTCTATGGCGCGCCTCCACCCTCTCCTCCCACGGACGGCGATCCATTCCGGCCTGGATTTCCTCCCAAGTCCAGGACCCCTGCCCGTCCAAGATCTCCTCCCACGTCCAGGCTGTCTGCTCCTGGACACGCTGCTTGGTCCTTTGATGGTGGGATCTTCTGTCACGATCGTCATAATGAGTGGACCAAGGCGCAGCGTGATATCTCTTTAATAGTGTACTTAGCAACACGATACAAATAACAAAAACAACAAAACGAAACGTGAAGTCCTCGGTCATACACAAACCTACACGGAACAAGATCCCACAAAAGACAAGTGCACAACAGGCTGCCTAAGTATGGTTCCTAATCAGAGACAACAAGACACAGCTGTCTCTAATTGGGAACCACCCCGGCCAACATAGAAACACTTAAACTAGATCGTGAACATAGAAAACGAAACATAGACACTACACAAAGAAACTAACACCCTGGCTCAACATACAAGAGTCCCCAGAGCCAGGGCGTGACACATTGCGCTGTCAAAAAACGTCAGAATATCGGTCTTCAGTTTGGCCGCTGGTTTCATCGTTTGATTCAGGTCTAGTGTGATTGAGGTAAAAATAATAGTTACAGTTAATGAGCTAGCTAGCTCTAATGGTACATCAACTGGCAAAAACTAGCCAAGTCAATTTACTTCTGTTGAAACGGGACAAAAATACTAAAACACATTTCCATACACACAACAGCTGCTAGATGCTGCTACCTGACAGATAGCTAGAGGCTAAAGCTGAACTGGTTGTGGTAGCTACAGAAAGAACTTCAGTCGAGAGGGGATGAAACATTAGCTAACATTACATGTCAGCACTGTGAATAAATACTTTTTTTTCCTGTTTAGTCAAAAAACAGTTACCTTGCCAGCTGCATCAGTCAAATAAAGAGTAGCGAGTTTCTGCTCTGCTTGCTTTTACAACTTAGAGAAAAAGTGTAATACACAGAGATGGCAGCTGCAGACAGCAGCACCGTGCTGGTCCTATATTAATAGCTTTGCCTTCGCACAGCCTGTCCGCACACTCTGTAGTGTCCGCGCGGTCCTAAATCCAGCCGTCTGAAATCGCCAAACAGCCTACCCAACCGCTCTAAGGTGTCTGCATTGTCCTAAAGCACACAGATGCCAATTTTTATATCACAGTGCAATAATACCACTGTGGGGGTATTACTGCACTGTGGGGGTAATTTGCGCCCCAAATTATGGAATTTCTCATGGAAAAACGATGTTGCATTCCTGTGTTTCCTTTATTTTGGCAGTTACCTGCAGTTAGACAAGCTAGCCACTCTAACTTGATTGATGGCTTCTTGGTAGCTAGTAATGAGGTTGGGAAACTGGAAACCTATCTGGGCTAGCTAAAGCCAACGTAATAAAATTGCTAGGTGGCTAGTAATATTACAGAGAAACAACATCTTTTTTTTTTCTTTAAACAGGACAAATCTAAGGGGGCACTTGCCCCTGTGCCCCCTATGGTCATGGCGCCTCTGAATGTGTGTGTGTGGGTGTGTGTGTTTGTGTGTGTGTGTGCATTGTACTTACAGCAGGCAGTATAGAGAGGGGAACAGCTGTATGAGGGCACCCACAGGTTGGCTGAGCCTGTATCAAACACTACGTTGAACATCTGGGCAGGAGAACCAATACTGATCTCCCCATAGTACTGGGTCTGAGAAGCAGAGAGAAGAAGAGGCAATGAATCATTTACTCCACTGAGTTTGGCACGTGGTTTGTGTTCTCTCATTTGGAACATAATATTCCCATGTCAATTGCATCTACAGTATGCGTGGTCAGTGCAGTGTGTGCAGGGGGTCTCTCACATCCAGGTAGTTGGTGAGGGGGGTGGGGGCTGTCCCGTTGCTGGGGGAGAGGTCATTTTTGCTCTTCTGGGCCAATTCAGCGAATAACTGCGCTGGGGACACACCTATCTCATGCAGGGTCTCTCTTATGGAGGGCATCTTCTTCAGACTGATCCTGATCAGAGACGACAACAGTGAGGAAAGATCATCCAATAGAATGATAGATAGGAAGTGAGCAGGGGTTGGGGTATACAATGCATTCTGCAATCATGGACCATTGTTGATATGAGACCATGTGTCCCCAATGTCTGTATAACATTTTTGTTTCTACAGCTCTACCAAAAATACACATTCTCTATTGATTTAGTTTAGCAAAATAGTCTGGTTTAAATTGATAAAACACTTCAACGTATCCATTCAAGCTTCTTCACTGTCTATTTTAACAGCCCAGAGCAGTCAAACACGTTTTATAAATATTTCCACACTATGAGGTTGGAATAATACTGTGAAATTGTGAAAATTTTGATAATACCCTTTTATTGTAAGAGCTGTTTGGAAAGACTGCCTGAAATTACAGCCTATTTTGGTGGGATGGAGTCTCGGCCTGCCTGGTGACATCACCAGGCAGTAAATAAGTTAATAGACCAATAAGAAAAATAGTTCCAAACGTCTCTGCCAATAACAGCTAGTTTTCAGTTTTCTGCTCCCCACTCAGACCACTCCCAGACAGTCCTAGCAAAATTATTGCTTGAGAAATTGCTCTTTGCTAGGAAGCTATTTTTGTTTATTTTTGACCATGTAATTAGAAAACAATCACAGTAAGTTATTTAATTGTTACCCAGAAATAATTTGATATTGAGATAAAAAGGCTGCATTGGACTTTTAAGTAGCATTACACATTGCAGAGTAGGACCATAACATTTAGGTTCATAACACATTGCAAAGTAGGACCATAACATTTAGGTTCATAACACATTACAGAGTAGGACCATAAAATGTAGGTTCATAACACATTGCAGAGTAGACAACATACGGTGACAGAAACATAAATAAAAAGATGGCGTTACCTTAGTAAGGCATGGCTGGTGGTCATCGTCAGTGACAGAGCAATCACACACACCCAGCATAGCATCAGCAGGGCCATGGAGACCCTGGAGCGTGAAGGAGTGTGCGGGACGTGAGAAGATGCACAAGTTATCCTATTCAAGTTATCCTCGTACCGTTTCTCCGGATAAACCAGCTACTTGTATATCCGATTTTCTGAAAGATTGGCCCCTCTCTCTCTGTCCTTCTACTCTTTTTATACTAGCTCTGAGCTTCCCTAGAAGTGTCCACCAACCTCCCCCCCACCCACCCACCCACCCTTTCCCTCCCTCCCTTCTACCTCACCCAGCCCTCCCTTGATAAACAGGTCCCAGGGAGAGGTTTGAACTGTGACCCTTGGGAACAGACTAGAGACAGAGGGATGAGAGAGAGCTCTCTGACCAGGCTGGGCTTATATCACGGCTGCAGGGTGAACATGGATTAAGGTCTGTGAGAAGAGGAGTGGGAGCCTTGGGGTGGGAGGGAGAAGCTTTAGGGGGGACAGAGAAGAAGTGGGGGGGAGATAGAAGGAAGAAGCTTTAGGGGGGACAGAGAAGAAGTGTGCTGATTGGGATTACCCAGGCGTAGGACACAGAAACTAGCCCTGTGAAATCTGGAAAGCAGTCAATTTATACTTGAATGGTGTGGCGAATTGAATTGTGTGACAAAGGCATTTTATCTATATGTGGCCAGTAGCTATAACATCTGAATCCAATGATTGCCAGATGATAATCATATGTAATATGTAGACAATGCAGAGAATGGATAAACTTTAAAGTGGACAGGGGAATAGGAGAAGGGTGCTGACAGGGATTACCCAGTCTTGCCAGATCATGCATTAATACATCAAAACCTATTGAAATGGCCTGTAAAACATTACTCGCTAAACAGGCCAGATGTTAACTTATAGTGCCATCTCTTTCCTTTCTGCTGAAGTATACTGTATCTGCTCCAACTTGGCAGTGTATGCTGCAACAGTTTCCCTTTATCTTGTCTGCGATAGTGGACTTTTCCCACACCCATCCAGCCCTTTTCTGCAGAGTAGCCTAGACAAGACACTCACACCTGTATGTTTACACTCTCCTGAAGGCTGCTCCTCATACAAGCTGCACTTGTAGCAACTCTTAAAGGCCCAGTGCATTCAAAAACTGGATTTTCCTGTGTTTTATATATACAATATTTCCACACTATGAGGTTGGAATAATACTGTGAATTTGTGAAAATGATGATAATGCCATTTAAGTGTAAGAGAAGAGAAGAAAAGACCGCCTGATATTTCAGCCTGTTTTGGTGGGATGGCGTTTTGGCCTGCCTGGTGACATCACCAGGTGGTAAATTAGTTAATAGACCAATAAGAAAGAGAGTTCCAAACCTCTCTGCCAATAACAGCTGTTTTTCAGTTTTCCCCTCCCCACTCAGACCACTCTCAGACAGTCCTAGCCAAATTCTTGCTTGAGAACTTTTGTTTATTTTTGACCATTTTAATTTAAAACAATCACACTAAGGTATTCATTTATTACCCTAGCCAAATTCTTGCTTGAGAACTTTTGTTTATTTTTGACCATTTTAATTTAAAACAATCACACTAAGGTATTCATTTATTACCCAGAAATGATTTGATATTGATATAAAATGGCTGCATTGGCCCTTTAAGAGCATCTGCTAAATTACTAAATTACTAAAATGACCATGTAAATGTAACTAAACTCCACTCTCATCTGGTAGGTTAATGATTGTTCGGCACTAAGTGTGTACACCAATCAATTGGGACAAGACATTATCCAAATCAATAGCCCGGATAGGAATACTCAACAGGGAATGGAGTTAATCCTACATTTTGTTTGTGGGGGTTGTGCTGTGGACTTCAGGCTAGATACTTAGCTAGGCTAGCTAATGTCTGTCTGTAGGCTATTAAACCAAGGTCTGTAAATGTATAGGCCTACATAATGTATGTATTTATATTGTATACTGTAGGCTATGGGTCAGGGGCTAGCCAAGGTCTATGGCTAGCTGAGGTTTATCTCACTCCATCTCTCCCTGTTAGCTGTACCAGCCAGATTGGGTTCCCACAGTATCTGCTCTGTGGGGCTGGGGTCATACAGTATGTGTACTGTAGTGACCACCCAGCCTAGCAGGAGATATGAGCATCCACGTCAGGCAGAGACTTGGACAGCCCTAGTGGAAGTCAGGGGTAAGCCATTCAGCTATTCCCTGTGGGCAGAACTGCCAGGAACCTGATTGCGTGGACAGCCACAGCTTACAGGGGCAATGACGACTTCTAGCGTCTCAGCCAAGGGGAACGGGTGCTCTGGTTTCAAGGACAGGGAAGTGTTGGAAATCATGTGTTCTCTGGGAGTGTGATGTCATGAGGAGAAGCAATGATGTGTGCTAACATTCTGTGTGTTGTCCGAGTGTTCTGTAATTTTATGAATGAAAACAGACAACTAGGGTTTAATTTCAAGCAGAATTTCAGAGACTACAGAATTTCATATCTACAGTCATACTGTAAATTAGCTTGGGGCATTTCCATCTGAAAGGACCCATGAGCACCAACATGTGAAGTTCATAGGAGCATGTCAAATTGGGTGTCAAATTAAAGCTAAGAGTCGTTTTTTTTGTTTGTTTGTTGAAATAAAGGCATTCTGTATATACATACATGTTTTATAAAATGTTCCATTCTAAAAATGTGGAATAAGCAAAGGCTTTAATTTCTGGTCAAACAGATGGAAAAAGGGTCTTAGACAACATCTACCAGAAAAAGTCTTAAAATGTATTAGAAATACATCAAAACACAATAATGTTGAAGTAAAGACCCCTACCATCTAATATCAACACTTATATTTCGTTTTTGAGAAATGATTTGCCTTCTGTAAATTTAAGAATCATTGCCATTTGCCTTGTAATTCCATTACCAAAAAAACACATATCTTTAAGATATTTTCTAATTTCTCTCCCTTATGAGGAGGGAGGATAATGAAAGTTCACGGAAGTAACAAGTAAAGGTAGACCTACCAATTAGTTATAGTGTTTTTACTGATATCAATTTGTTTATGAATTAATAAGTGATTAAAACTTGTAATTCTGTTACCAAATTGGTAACGTAATTACTTCAATTGAATTGGCTACATTGGGAAATCATAGTAGTCAAAAACCACAGTTGGGTCACCTGATACTGTCCTCCCTTCCACTGACATACTGTTATGTTCAGCTCATAACTGTTTTCGTTCTCTTTCTGTCATCTGGTGGTCAAAGCAAGACTGTGAAAACAATCTGGACAACCCCTCCCCCCTCTCCCTAAACTGTTCTCTCTCTCTTCTCTCTCATCTTATTTTATATCTCTCATATTCATAGTTCTCTCCTTTGTATCTCTTCTTCTACTCTTCTTCTCTCTCTCTGTATCTCTTCTCTCTCTCTCTCTCTTATACTGTCTCTCGTGTCTCTTTCCTCTGTCTCTCTCTCTCTCTCTCTCTTCTCTCATTCTCTCTCTCTTCTCTCTCGTCTCTTCTCTCTCTCTCTTCTCCATATCTATCTCTCTTGTTCTTCTCTCTTCTCTATCTCTCTCTTGTCTCGCTCTCTCTGTCTCTCTTCTCTCTGTCTCTGTCTCTCTGTATACGTCTATTCTTCTCTATCCTACTCTCTCTCTCTCTTCTCTCTCTCTGTCTCTCTCTCTCTCTCTCGCTCTCTCTGTACTCTTCTTGTCTCTCTCTCTCTCTCTCTCTCTTATCTCTCTCTCTCTCTCTCTCTCTCTCTCTCTCTCTCTGGTTCGCTCTCTCTGTCTCTCTGTCTCTCTCTCTCCTCTCTCCTCTCTCTTTTCGGTTAATGTCACCTCTCCCGGCTCTTACTGACACATACCCTCTTTCCATTTACTGTAACAAGCATCCTCACCCACTGAGCACCGACAGACACCGGCCGTTGAAAAGTAGTTGAAATTTGGTCAGTCTACCCTGACCGGACCAACTCTGAACCATTTATAGACGTCTATGTTTCACAAGTTTGGACAGCAGCGTACAGTACAGTATAGAACAGTAGAGAACAGTACAGTGCAGTAAAGAAAAGTACTGTACACTACAGTACAGTATAATGTACTGAACATATTTACTTTACTGTACTCTACTGTATTGTACTGCACTCTATTCTACTTTACATTGCTGTACTGTACTGTATTGAAACATAGACATCTATGATTGGTTCAGTTCTGGTCTAGTCCTTGTTTGGGGGCGGAGCTCATAAGAATAATAGCCAGTGTAGAATAATACCCAAATATGCAAAAGAAGGATATTGCATATTTCTACCTTTGTGGACCAGGATACATCACCATGAAGGGAATAACATTCATATCCAAAATTATGCATTTCTGTATAGTACAGATCAGGCACCCATGATGTAATTCTGTTACTGTAATTCTGTTACCAGATGTAAATCCATTTAACCTACTGTACTTCAATAACCAAAATATGTCATGTGATAGCTGACACCCCATTCTTTCTGCTGACATCTTTTAATCTTAATTTGGAGCAGATACAGTGCCTTCAGAAAGGATTCAGACCCCTTCACTTTTTCCCCATTTTGTTTTGTTACAGCCTTATTCTAAAATGGATTAAAAAAATAATAATTCACTTCATCAATCTACACACAATACCCCATAATGACAAAGCAAAAACAGTTTTTTATACATTTTTGGCACATTTATCAAATAAAATAAAAATGACATCACATTTCCATAAGTATTCAGACCCTTTAATCAGTACTTTGTTGAAGCACCTTTGGCAGCGATTACAGCCTCAAGTCTTCTTGGGTATGACGCTACAAGCTTGGCATGGTGCCAGGTTTCCTCCAGATGTGACGCTTGGCATTCAGGCCAAAGAGTTCAATCTTGGTTTCATCAGACCAGAGAATCTTGTTTCTCATGGTCTGAGGGTCCTTTAGGTTCCTTTTTTGGCAAACTCCAAGTGGGCTGTCATGTGCCTTTTACTGAGGAGGGGCTTCCGTCTGGCCACTCTACCATAAAGGCCTGATTGGCCAGCTCTAGGAAGAGTCTTGGTGATTCCAAACTTCTTCCAT